ATAAACTATTCTTTAAAAACAATTCCCTGTTACACTTACAGTAATAATAGTACAAAATGGACTCAGATATATTCCATACTTTCCTACATCTAAAACGTATTACACACGTAACACCGTATTAGAAACCCAAGTTCCATTGGGATCTACTCTTTATAAGCTCCTCGGACGGAGCTTTAAGCTTTTGTGAGGTTCAGGGAATCGATTTGTACCAGCGTCTGGACCAATTTCTGAGACTAGTACAGTAGGACAGTACAAACTACAGACCTATATATTATACAAAGTATCTTCTAAAATATTTCTAACCCCAATCTACAACTCTCAATGCTACCGGCAATACCCCTAAGTCAATGTAAGACCCTTATACATTAGATACAACCTGAAGGTATCCCAGTGTATAGCTTTGGCAATCACAAGTTCCATTTCATACTCATTATCCTTGTTCCATTATATATAGTCAATATAAGTAAGTAGACACTACAGAAAAGTACTTTCCGAACAAATGGGACACTTCGTACACGTCTTCCAATTGTCATTACCCATAACGATTTCAACATGTACAATTTCCTTTCTTAGGTGTCAATATTGAAACCTGTGAAACGCCTATATTGCAACAAGTATATAGATAGTTACATAACATCAACAGAGTATAAATTAAACTTTATAGTGTCCCATGTATGATATACTTGCCCACCACAACTTTTACACGGCCCTTTGACGTATTTATGGAGTACTTCAAATATATATAACAGCGAAGGGAGTCATCCGCGTCTCCTATTCGGGACAATTGTTAGAGATAAACGTAGATGCTTTCTACGCGGTGTTAGCTCCTGACATGATCCTCCTTGTAACACTTATACCAGTAGTACTATACACACCTAGATATATGCTGCAAACAAAAGCAACTCGACATTATTATCGTAACGACCTGATGAGGATACTTAAGTCAATCCTTAAAGAACTAATGCAGGTCTTATGTCCTATATAAATTCACGTACGGGATATTTCAATCATAATTAGATGCTATGCTTAAACTACATTCTACAGTACGTACACTACAATGGAGTCTATGAAAAACTATTAAAATCCTTAAGGTACAGAAGAGCGCACTAAACTTCACTTTAATGCAGAAGTACCACAATTGTATTTCGAAAAGTCATTTACCTGCCTAAAGGCATGTGTATTATATGTTTACATATGCATTGTTGAGTGTTTGTTAGCCCGCGAAACATATTTAGCGGTAACTGTACGAAAGTGGTATTCAGCTCATTTACCACATACAATTTCACAAACGATAGAGAAAAAGATAAATGAGTGAAATCAATTTCCCTTTACTCTTCCCGTATACATGACTACTGGAGCATAGAACGAACAAGCGTATATGTATACCAACAGCGAAGAGGGTCGATAAAATTGCTAGAGTTCATGATTATTCTTAGGTATGTTGGGACTTAAATACTAATCTTTATAGATATATGTATTGTGACCTTCCTCTCTTATACCTTCCTATCCTCTATCCTTTTTCCTTTCCAACCACCTATTCTCTACGACGGATACGTCAAGAGCCTCACAGCGCACTGTAAATATGTATAATAGTATCTGAGAGAACTCCTCAAATCTTCTATCGACCTCTCACAGCTGCAAGGATAAATAAAATGGAGAATAGGACCTTCAAATCCCTAATATTATATACTTCTCTTGAAATCAGTCTTAGCGACAATCATGAGGACATGGCATTAAAGAATATTACCTTAAGTTTGCCAAGAATTGAAAAAGTCATGCGCCTGGAAAACAAAGAAAACTCCACAAATACAGTAGAAGCACCAGGAAGCCGGTACTTGAAGAAACCGCTAATCCTATTAGTCAAATTAAAATATCAAATCAAAGTTCTACGTTAACACGGCGAGATAACAAAATCGTTGACCCCACTAAAAATAACGTATTCCCCCCGAGGATATACGCAGCGTCTTCCTCGACAGGAATTCCTTAGATTCGCAGTCGGATTCGTCATCGAACCAAATCAGTCAGGACGACAAGTGCACATCAAAAGACGACAAAGAGCATTAAAATCTTGAGAATGATAATCTATAAAATCATTTAGGAAAAACTATCCTGCACTCCCCAGCACACCGGTGAACGGTATTGTACTGCAAACTGTGGGAGCTCATCTGAGGAAGCATTGTGTCTCATCTATGTATCAGGAAACCTGCTATCCTTTTAGATATCCTGCAGCAAAGTCATTGTGACGGCGCTGTCAGAAATCGACCAAGCACCAAAAACCAATCCTTAAAAAGCTCAACTTCCAACGTCATTGTGATTGGTAGCTGTCTGGGCTCCCCATGGTCCTTACCGGATCTAAGGAATCATTGCGATATCCCTTAGTATCAGGAAGAAAATCCCAAAAATCTCTGCATCATCCTGCAGTGAAGTTGTCGTAATGGAACTGTCAGGACTGCAAATCTACTTCACTAGCCTACCTAAAAAGACTCAGCTCCGAACGTCATCCTGATTAGTAACTGTATCAGTCAAAAACTTCCTAAATATAATGGGTTCAGCAAATGGCGATCGTTGTGATCATCTGTGGATTCTGAACCATATTATCATCCCTATCACCGGTTGGCCTACAATCACCGGACGCATCGTGCAACCTGCTCTATTGTAATTTCAGCTATCTCTTTCCTTCTCCTAGAGACTAGCACAGGGAAAAGATAGAGAAATAAACTTCTCGTCGCCTGCGGTACAATAATAAACATTGTACACAATTATAAGAGTATGAGAGACAGTGAGATAGCAATTAGGTGACTTTCTAGTATATGACTTATAGGACTTATAGGATCACGACTGTTTTTATTTTAAAATTAAGTGTTGTTTCCCATAAAAATGGCTGCCATGTGCACAAACCCTTGCAAAAATCTTGTGATTTCAACTCCTTCAAAATCGCGAAACGTTTCAGTGTTTATGACTTCATGAGTTTAATTAAGTCACTAAGTAAAAAAAAACAATAATCATTTACCCTAAGTGGGGTGCGTAGGTCATGCATGAAATTGGAGGAAAATTCGTTGTTTTCCCAGGAAAAGTTTATCTAGGACCGACTCGATTTTACTAGACGATTCGGTTTAATTGGTATCATTGGGGAATACCAGGGAATAGTATTGAGAATATATATAAAAAACGGTGTCGAAGATGAGGTTGACACTGGGAAGAATAATGAAATGTAAATAAGTGCGTAATTACGAGCGAAATATTGTACAAATATATTATAGTTAAGTAAAATACATGCTTGGTTCTTGCGCTATAGTTTATTTCCCTCTTTGTTCCTGTATCAACCCTCCGGTTCTCACGTGGCTTCCAAGTAGATAAAGACGACTAATTGGACGAATAATACGTACACATTTCACTGTCCTCAACTCATTAATTTTGTGGAGTTTTACGTAACTATATCTATATGATATACGTAACATACATATATATTTTTGGGAAATTTACAGAACATGTGTAAATATTTATGTATTTTACCGCAAGCTGCGCTCTAAGGTGAAGCGATGCAGTTCGCTATTAAAAATTAAGCATCCACTTCCTTTGGCTAGAGAAGTCAAGAGCCTTTTATAACTTTTTTGTCCTTCTTGCTAAGTGAATCAAATAAAAAAAATATCCCGAAGTGTCTACATGATCATACATTTGTAGATCATGATTAATAGAAAAAAGACCTCTTCACGTTTACGTAATACCCTTGTAGCTCGTAAAAAAGAAAATCTCATAAATCAAATACGTTTATCAACCCTTAATATTTCTTCTCGACGTAATTCTAAATCGTCACTGATGACTGCCTGCGATGATTCTTCTTTTAGTCCAATTGTAATTCAATTACATAATTGATCCATCCATGAGTTTTGTGTGAAGTGATGGTTTCAAAAACATTTTCAATTTCTTCACAATGCGGAAAATTGCCTCGGTCATTTTTCTATTTGGTGTGAAAGTACTTCGCAAACTTAACGAAACACTCGCAACTCGAAAATTGAGTTTGCACAGGTGAGACTCTGCGTACGTTACAGTGACAAATGTTATTGTCAAGTTTTTCAATTGCGTATTGTCGGTTACGCTCCTGCAACGTTAAAAATTCAGAGCTACAATAGGAGGAAAAGTTTTACAAATTCAAGACAGAGAAGAAACTAATAAAAAAGAACAATGAGATTCTCGTTTGAATCTGTCTGAAAAAGTTACAATTCTATAACGCCAAGTCTTCAGAGTATAATTTGCCATCGTCGTTTAATAGAATACACCTTTTACGCCATTGCGTTATATATATAATACATACAGGGTGTCCCACAACGTGGGAGTAACAACCATAAAACTCTATATAATGTCCTGTGTAAATAGGTACTATCAAATATTTTCAGTAGCTCCGCGTTATAAACAGCCAGTTTTCCGGGTCGCCGTATTTACCTACCAGATATTTTCCAGCGACCATAAAGGGGAACAAGTGCACGTTAATACAGTCATTTTAACTTAATTTTCGTGCTCGTGGATGTCGTTTATTTTTATTTATTAACAGGTTATCTTCCCCGTTTGCTAGCGCTATACTTCAGAGGCTATAAGTCTCCTATCCGCCGTTTTACTTCAGTCACCGATATACGAGAAGACGGCTTATCGATACTTTAGACGTTCCCCATTCTCGATAATACACTTTACATCGGTATTATTACATAGATCTTACATTAATATCGGATCCATACGATCACGACAGCTTTTCGTGTTAATAGCACTTACAACCTCATGACATCTTTTTTTTTTAATAAAATAGTGGTCTTCCCGTCCTACATCGCACTACGTGCCTGACTACAATATTGTGCAGTGAAAATTATTTTCGTGTAAGGGAATCACGTGAAGAGGGATGGCAAAGAATAAGGGATGTTAATGGCCGCCACCCTTAATTTAAACGCAGAAAAGTTCACGCTTTCCAGATTATAAAGAAATCTTATAAAACATGACCGAGAAATGCTTACGCCATGTACATTATCGTTCAGTGAATATTCCTACTCGTCCCCCTAAGCTTCTTTTTTTCTGACTATAGATGTGCTGGCATCCTTTTAACGAAATCCGCATAAATCGTTGGATTTTAATCATCGTCCATTCAACTGCTTGCTCATCATTTTTTTCGTTCTATAATGTTCGACGCATCCCTTTGCAAGCACATTGACCCTTGTGTGACTGTGAAGCAAAAAAAAAATGATACCCATGATCACAATCTTTTGTACAGATTCGAGACTACGTAAATGCTCATTACAATTATATACAACCAATGAAGTTTCATTACGTTAGGCTTACCGGTAAAGAGACCTGTTCATACTTCTGGGTTGAAGTTTCACAAGGGTAAGTAAGAGCCCACTTGAGAAATAGAGTAAAAACCACGAATTCAATTGCTGCAAGGTTTGACTTTAATGGCAGCAACCCACGACTGCATATAGCTTGTAAGAGTTGCAAGCCCTTAAGCAGTGGTTTGCTTAACCGAAAGCTTTGAAAAGAGGATGTCCTGAGTGGAATGTGATGAAAAATCTAGTTGAGGATCTGAGGATTAGTAATTGGTGAGAAAATATTTAAGAGGCAGATGGAAATGAAGTAATTTTCAAGTGTCTGCACAGTTTATATGTTATTGTCAATAGTCTATTTTTGATACAGCGTATCTAGCGAGCTTACCCCCTACGAAGACAAATCCATTGCACCGATGAAATGGCATCAAGGAGTGTAGCAGTGAAAGAAAATCTTTGCGAAATACAATTGCACGTGAGAAAATTGCATTCTGAGAAAACTCTACGGCTGACAATAGAAAAATAAATGAAAATGTCACAAACCGAATGCAATTTCTTTCGCTGACATCTTTTTATCTTTCTAAGATAATGCAGACGCAGCATATAGTGCATGTACACCGCGTAAACTGCAGTTGTACATGCCCATTGTGAAACAAAAATTTAATTTAATATCAAAACATAAATGTCACTCACCATAAGTAGTTTAACTTTGTTAACCAAAGGGGATGTCGTCAGAAATTTGTTGACGGCCGTTAAGATTTTCCCTTCCAACGTGGCAGCGTTTCCGGCGTCCTGTCCTTGTGAGCATCCGGGCCCGATCTCGCCTCCTCTACTGTCTTCCTTCACCACCGGAAGTCGCCCTTCTTGGACGAATTCACCCCGCGAGAAAATGTTCTCGCGTACCTCTATCCAACCGTTTTTCACACTACTGAAGCATTTGCCACCAGCTATCACTTCCGTCACCTTTACAATCCTCTTCGATACGGAGAGCGTAGATACTTCGTATCCCCAACAGAATCTCAGCAGCTGAGTACAGGGTACGTTGCTCTTATCGAATCCTGAACATAGATATATGACGAACGATCCTCTTCGACAGCTGCGTATAAAATCCTCTGGAGACGACTTGACGCGTCTATCCTCACACTTCAGGAGGTCCCTACTGATCTAAGAAGGAAGAATACCTTCTGGAATGTTCTCGCGAAGCCTCTGATACTCCAAGGACACTTGAGGCTTCGTTTTAGATATCGGTTACTATCGATATAAATTTCAATAATTTGGAGCCAGCACAAAGCAAACGTCAGGCTGCAATGTTTTCCTCTTCTATTCTGTCCCCCTAAATTACTACGCGTCACAGCTAAGTAGTTTAACTACTTTGCAGAAGTTGCTATCCCAGGTATAGCTATAGGGTACCGAAGAAAGTCGTGGATGGCAGGTTGCGCGGTGTCGCGGTCTCAACGGCGACTGAAGTCTGTAGCGGCGTGGGTGCTGCTGAATCTCACGGACGTAGAGAACGCCCCAGTCAAGTTTAGTGGGGATGAAATACCACCCCCCCCCCTCCCACTGCCACTACCAACGTTGCGCTTCTGATCAACACCACTAGTTGCTATTACCAGTCCTTGTAATCCTATGCTCTATCCATGTCACCTCATTCTGTTACCGGTATCATCAATCATCTGCAAGAATATATTATTTTTTTTAGTATTTTCTTTATTCCACTAATCTATTCATCTCTTCTTACCTTCATGATGTTCTTGCAAATCACTTGTTTCTTTCAACTTTTCTTTACAATTTTGTGTATGTTAATATTTCATTCCAATTTTCAGTCAGAAAACGTACACACTTTCAAAGTATAATATTCTGTGAATAGCATATAAGACAGCACAAAATACGAACATTTTACTGCAGCATTACACATAAAAAATCTCAGGCACTTGATGTATTACGTTGTATTATTAAAGACAATACTGTCAGTAAATTCTTATTTTTTTCACACCCTATATGTGAAAACATGTCTATTCCATCAACATAATAACCCAGGGTTAGGGTTGCCTGTCGTTTATATAGAGTGACCCAAACCCAAATTTCGAGAATGGTTTTAAAGTCTCATGACACCGAATACCGACCTTCTGGTTTGTGTTCGCGATCGCGTAAAACGCGTTATGAGGGTTTTACGGAAGACGTTACGTTAAGCATTGTCATTCCAGACAATAAGAGATGCCGCTTATCTTCTCGAATGTTCACCAACGATAAAACGTAACCGAAACAAATTAATCCACTGTGAATATTATCAGCACGGAAATGACTTTGACCTGAGTAACATCAGCCCTTTAAGAAGCAGCAGCACAAGCTCCTACGTAAGACTCGCCAGAAGGGTGGGAAATATTGTAACCCATAAATATAAGTAACTTCGTTTTATCTTACCCATTAGTTAGCAGAAATACTCATTATCACTTATACATATAGAGTTTCTGACTGACGTAACTGACAAGAAAAAAAACTCAAGATCACTGACCACAGTGAACCTCTTTCTTGTATTATCAACCCAAGTGCCATCAGAGCCAATTGAGATGGATCTGAAGAAAAAAGAATATTCTTTTCTCTTTCGTTCCCTGTCATTGGTCACTACCCTTCTTGGACGTGAGCATTTTATTTTCTGGTTGATATAATTTATGTCCTGACGATCAGATTCTTCCTTATGTTTCACGGCGATACCCTAACTATAATCAGAATCCTCTTCGTGACCAAATATTTATCGTGTTTACTCAATCTCGTGGAAAATAAGAAAAATCAGTAAATTGAAACGTTCTTGACGACCAATTATACAAGTTGCACAATATTGACAAAATGTATCTATGTATCTACTTTGAAATTCATTAAATTCAGCAAAAAAATTCGATAGTCCAAAATTTTCATTGAAATTTTTCAATGAGTCTACAGAAATATGGGGACGGCCGGTGAATTTCTTGTACAGTTCATAAGTGAAATTCGCTCAAGACCAGTTTAGTTTTTTGCATGTGAAAGCCGTGTGGTCTTGTCATGTGTGAATTCAAATCTTACACCTTGCTAGATACAAGTGTATCATTAGATATTTCACGACTGTGACAAACAAATAAACTTGGACGACCAAGTTAAACTCTTAGGACGGATCCACTTTCCAAATAAAATTTCTATTTTATGCGTATCTTTTCCTAACAGGAGATCCAAGAGACTGATAATAGCGGAGAACAATAGACAAGTATGTCACCCATTGCACTAGCTTCAATATGTAATGTGGGGTACCTGAAGTATAGCCGGTGTGTATTTATCGGGGAATACTTGGCATAACACTTCCGCGGAACGTATGTATCTTGATTTACACAGAAACTTCCACTACGGGATACATTGACACACCGTTGTATTACAGGGTATTATCGAGAATATTCTTTCACTCTGTGCCATACCATACTGTGTCCTTTTGTTAACAGTCTGTCTGAAGGCAGGCACAAGAGAGTTATATATTTCCTAAATTTTTGTGTAAGATGTATCTAGTTGCTTTTACAATAATTGTTTTGAATGATTCTTTTTGATAGTATTAACGAGCTATTTTTAATGGCAAGGAACTCAACTAATTCTCTCGATCTAAGTTTATAGGAAAAACATTGAAACTTACGAATTCTAGTGAAATCCATCTGCAATCAGCATTTCCATGTTCTCGATATGAAACGCCACTGGAATTCTTTTACAGCTGGGAGACGCGTTGCACCGATGCCGGCTAATTCCGGAACTCTGGCGGATTGAAAGAGAGGCGTTGAACGATTTCCGCAAAAATGTAATTACATCGTTCGCTTGGACTTGAAGGGGTCCTGGAAAACGAATCCGGGTCTTCGCTCGATCGAATACCGCCAGGACTCTAAAGAATGATTACATTGGTTCCAATGACTTTTTAATCTAAATTAATTGGACGCTCTTGGATTAAAAAACATGGGTGCACAACCTGTCCAATTTTAAAACATTTGATGTTACAATTGCAATAAACATTTAGCGACTCAAAAGCTTCGGATCATAGCTGAGAGTTAAAATGATAATCTTCTTCTTCTTTGCCAGTCAATAGTAAAATGATTATCGCGAAAACTTTTTCATTGTGAAATCTTTTTAACAAACTTTAACAATTAAGTTGGCATCGACGTAACCTCTGATAAGTTAGCACGACATTAAAGAATGTTAAAAACAAATTTTGACGAGAAGTTAGCTGGACATATTCTATTTATTAACCGATTTTGTTCGATAAGATGATGCGAAATCGTTTGGTGGTTACGAATAACTTAATTAAAAGTTAAAAGTATTAGGCTAACTAACTATCGACGTAAACTGATTTTAGGATTTGCGAACTGAGTACTAGAGCAGAAATTGAAATAAGATATAAATTATAATACATTTTTAATGAAAATAGATACATTCACTGATGTATGTACTATAGAACAGATCAGCAGAAAGAAATATATTCAATCAACGGATGTATAAAGCAAGTTATCAACTGAAAATCCAACGTTACCAAAACACCGAAAAATAGTACCGACGTTGATCGAATCTTTGTACCAGTAGTCGCTTAACGCTAGTGCTTACTGTTCTGTCCACAATGGCATCTGTGGCGCTCTAATCACTAAAGATTTAAATTCAAATGTTCAGTGACGTCACAGAAATGGCTGAATCAGATTGGTCGGTTGTAAAAGTAGCGGGGTTGGCTCTGAAATAACGCTGCTCCGGACTATTTGTGTTTGTAACCGTCCGCGGGATGCAATGTGTACCCGGTGAAGTTTAACTTGCGTCGACACGTTATAAACAATAGTCTAATAAGCTGGACCCATGCTAAGACGAGTAAGGGCCGAAACTGCCCGAAAAGAAATCTCACCGAAGAGAGACTGTCCTATGTCAAGTAGAAATTCTGTAAAAATGTCGACGGATAAGGCCTCCAAAGAGAAAATGGATCTAGAGACGCAGATCGAGAACAAGAAAAAGGACCTCCAGGAACATGAAAAAAAGCTTCAGGAACACGAAAAGAAGATGCTGGAACTACAGGAGATAACCGGTGGCACGTACAAGCCGTCGTCTAAGGCAGATTCAAAATTTTTAGATGAAAAAAGTCGAAAATGGGAAGCTGCCGTTAGGGAGAGAGATAGACTCGAGAGAGAATTGGCTGCCTCCAGGGCGGATTTAGCTGCTGTCAAAAGAACTCTGGGTAAATTGATGATTTGTGTCTTAAATACGGTTCTTTATACTATCTTAGTGTCACTAATTAATCTGTGTGGTGATAATAGATTTGGAGCGTCAAGAAAGGCGCGATTTGGAAACCAGAACTTTAGAGCTTATAAAGGCAGCAAAACGGAAATGGGAGGCCGCAGAAAAAGAAAAGATAACACAGTTAAATAAGCATATAGAAACACAGACTGTACGGATTACAGATTTATGCACTAGCAATAATGAGATGAGTTCTAGATTACAGCGAACAGAGTCTGAACTTAATACTGTCAATGCTGAGCTGCACAAGTTAAGAGTATTCCAGGTTTGTTGTTTCATTAGTGTCTCTTAAATTATACTGTAGTACTTTAGAATTATGTTAAGCAGTTTCATGACAAAGTAATTATTCTTTATATTTCTGTTATGCTGGCTTGTTTACGGGAGTACAATCTTCATGGTATAGTAATTTTGTATAGTAAAATGTATTGGAATTTATAGATATAAATATATATATATATGTATATATTATTTGATCTATATTAAATGAAGCCATAATGTAGAGTTTGAATAATACTCTTAATACTTTAGGTCCAGTACAAAGAATCTTTAGCAAAGACAAGGGAACTAAGTCGCCAGAGTGCTCAAGGAGTAGAGGATAAACTTGAAGCAATAGCTTCGAGAGCACACAATCAATTAGCAGATATTAGAGCCAAATTGGAACTTGAAATAGCGAAGAATGTAGATCTGGAGTCTAAATTACGAAATGAACAAGATGCCAATCACTGTCGTTTATCAAGACTTAATATTGCTTTTGAATTGTCACAAAGCGAACTTAAGGATTGTCAGGAACAATTGAGGAGTGTTCAAGCTACAATTCCAGCACGTGATGCTGAAATTGAAACATTGAGAAATGAATTAAAAGAAAGGTCCAGGCAATTAGAAAGCGCAATTATGAACGAACAAAATGTCATACGTTTACAAGAGCAGCTACAGAGGCTAAAACTGGAAAACAAAGAATTAAAGGAGCAACTAGAAGTAAGACATTTTTATAATTTTATTTCAATTTGTCATAAAAAGTTGTACATTTATTAAAACTTTATAAAATATCTTTTCTAAGGTTACCAAAACTGACTTGAATGAGACTGTAATAACCTTAGAGCACAGTGAGAGTCTTGCATTGAATTTGGAACGTGCCACACAGGATAAAGCTGCTCTGCAAAGAAGACTTCAGGATTCTTTGGATAAAGAAGGTTTGTGAGAAAAATATCATACTGGCACGTTGAGAAACGTATTAAAAAATAATTTAATTCTGTTATTTTGTTTTAATTAATTTATCCAATCAGAGGAGCATTTACGCAAAGTAGGGAATCTTGAAGAATTGTTGAGTCGTTTAGAGAAAAGTGTAACTAAATTAGAAGCTGAGAACGCTAGTCTCAAGCAAGTTGATGAAGCCCAACCCAGCACAAGTCAGTTATCATATAAAGAAGCTATGCAAAAGATCAGCTGCCTAGAACAGCAGATTGTAAAGTTAGAACAGCAACTTCAGACTTCCCGAGAACATGCGGCATCTGAGCGGCAGATTGCCAAACAGGCTCAAACGAATCTGTGGAAAAAGGAAAAAGAACTCTCTGATGCGAACCTGGACAAACGTATTGCCCTGCGAGAAGCAAAAACCGCGGAAGAGAGATTGAAAGTGCTTCAAGAGGATAAGCAAAGATTAACGAAACAGTTGAACGATAAATATAAGCTGGAAGAAGAAAAAGCTGTAAAACTTCTTAAAGAATTGGAAACAGCTAAATCCACATTGGACGACATTAGCAAAGATTCATCGCGAAACAAATCACTAGCAGATTCAGCACAAAAGGTCAGCAAGTATATAAATTACTTGATTTTCAAAAGTATCAAACTTTCTGATATATAAAATTCATTTTCATTTAAAAACTGATTCTACTTAGTTAATAATCATGAAATATCCTCAACGTGGCGTAACAATTATTACAGCCTGGACATCTTTTTTTTTATACATTTATTTACATAGAAATTCCTGAATATGTACAGTTTAACATATACTTCCTATCAATAGGCATTGACTCAGACGAACAAGCAAATAGAAGAGTTGCAGAACTCAAGTGCATCCTTGCGTCGTGAATTAGATGCTGCTCGTAAACAAATGCGAACAAATCAGGATCGCGCTGACAGTCTAAATGCCGAGAATCAGCGTCTTAATCGTTCAGTTGCCAAATACAGTGAGGAGAAGAGTGAATTGGAAGCCAAAGTTGAGAAACTTCAACAGGAGATCAATGGATACCACGTAAATATAGAGCTTCTGAAGGAAACCTGTACTGTCCTAGAGGAGCAGCTCACCGATTACGAGAGATTAACGAGCGACCATGAAACTCGTGAAAATATGCTCATCCAAGACAAAATGAAACTTCAGAAGGATTTGGAAGCTGTAGAAGGACACTTACGTGAAGCGCGCGTTGCTCAAAACGAGGAAAAGACTAAAAGATTGGTAGCGGAAAGAGCCATCGAAAGATTAGAATCCGAAACTAGCGATATAGAGGACGAACGTGATGGTTTGGCCACTCAACGAGATCAGTATAAAAAGCTTGCTCAAGATCTGAGTAAACAGGTTGCCGAATTGTCTACTAAATGTGGAGAGCTAGAGTGCGACTTGTCTGCAATGGAACGCGCCTTGGAGACAGCTAAGGGTGAAGCCGTGGTAGTTAAAGAAGAGAGTTCAGAGCATTTGACAAGAATGCACGAACTGAAGGATGCGAACGTGACACTTATGATAGATCTGCAGGCTAGTGTGGACCAGGGTCAGGAACTGCGAGGAAGGATAGCAGAATTGGAAAATGTACTTGAGGAAATGAGACAGTTTTATCAAGAGAGAGAAGTTAAAGCTGAAAGCACGAGGCAGCAGCATACAAAACTTATAGATTACCTGCAGTTGAAGCTTGAGGAAGTAAGCAAGAAAAAGAAGAAAATGTGTGATAAATTATTTGGGGGAAAACATGATGAAAATTTACCACCATCGGGTACTGGAATGCCTGTGGGGTACAGAGAATTAGAGAATCAGTTAAGCAGAGAAAGGGCAAAAGTTAAAACTTTAACTGATCAGTTACTAGCATTGAAAACTGCACAAGCTTCCTTGTCGGTTCCAAATTCACCACCTACACCAGAAACTAGAAGAGCTCTGACCTACCTGTCCGAGTCACCAGGAGATGCTCTGGCTAGAAAGCCATCTCTACAGAGGATGAGACACAACATACCTCATAGATTTAACGTTGGTCTTCCAATGAGAGCTGGCAAGTGCGCCGCCTGCTTGGATTCCATTCAGTTCGGAAAACGCGCTGCCATCTGTTCTGATTGTCAAATCATGACACATCTTAAATGTTCTGTGTCAGTCCCAGCGACATGTGGCCTTCCTGGTGGCTTTGCTAAGCATTTTAGTAAAACTTGGAAAGCTAGTGAAGAAAGTTTGTCAAGCCTAACGGATAGTGTTCAAACTTTATCTTTGGATCAGCCAGATAAACCAGATTCGGTATTTTTTTTACACTTATATTATTGTGTCATTAAAAATTATCATTTATATATCGTATATCTATTCTAGGATTCTCAAACTTTGCAAAGCAATGGAAATGAAGTTTTAATGGAAAGTTGGGTAAAGTTACCTGGGCGTGCGAAAGCTTGTTGGGAAAGAAAATACCTTCGACTAGAAGGATCAAGCTTGTGTACATATGAGCACCAACCAAGTTCAGGAATGTCACCAATCAGTCGATTAGACTTAAATGAAAAGAATGGTTTCACGATATCAGAAACGGTTCAGCAAGCAGATGTCGCTGGCACTGCTAAATCTGATTTACCTTTCATCTTGAGGGTTGAATCTAATCAACCCTCGACATGTTGGCCATCATCTAGGCTAGACATAATGGCTTTAAGTCAGAATGACAAAAAAGCTTGGTTGAAAGCCTTAAAATCAGTTGCTAGTCAAACTATATCTGGAAAACTTACTAAGAGCAAATATCAAACTATCTTAAGATTGGACAAAAATCAAGTATGTATATAAATTAAATCATATCTTATTGATATTCAGGAAATTGGTAGTAAAATCTTTTTATTTTATATAGTTGGATTTGAACTGTGCTGTGGATATAGGCCAGGAGAAAGTACTTCTTCTTGGTGCCGAAGAAGGTCTATTCTCTTATCAACCTTCCAATTCACGTACCCTTACTGCTATCCGGGGTGTAAAAAAGGTACACCAGCTTTCACTACATCCCCAACTGGGTCTCGCTCTGATGATAGCCGGAGAGGATAGACAGCTGGTTTCCTGTGACTTAAGACAATTAAAAAGTAATGCTTTAGCTGCTGAATGTTCTCGGCCAGCTATAAATACAAGACCGGTACTACCTAGTGGCGACAGTTGCCATCTTTTCCAGGTACAAGACGACATGCTATGTGCAGCCACAGCCACTCATGTCATGTGAGTATGTTATATTCAAATAGTGTAATGGTTTTATTTTCTCTAAAATTTATTGTTTTTGCAGTTTATTGAAGTGGGTCGTCGGAGAGGATTCGGGTGAATTCGTGATAGTTCAAAAACGCGAGACTCAAGAGCCTTGTAGTTGTGCGATGTTCACAAAAAATTTACTGATTGTAGGCTGTAATAAATTCTTCCAAATTGACCTGAAGAATTATTTGGTAGACGGTAAGCGGATGTTAATGAATATTACACTGTGACTTTCATCAGCAATTAAAATCACTTATGAAATCGACAGCGTAATCCACCGTTTCTGACTTAATGATTATTAAATTGAGGTGGTTCTCGTATATATGTAAATCGACTTATACATTGAATGTTTTTCAGAATATTATATAAGATAAACAGAAAAATAAATAGTGTACATGATTCTCTAATATTTTACAGAATTCCCAGAGGATGATGATAGCTCAGTTAAAGGTGCTATTATCGGTGTGGCTAGACTTGGCATCTTTCCTGTGTGTGTTCTAAACGTTTCGATGGTACCTCAGGCTGTTGAACTTCTACTGTGTTATAATGAGTTCGGTGTATTTGTTAATGAAAACGGTCAAAGGACACGAGGTGTTGACCCAACTTGGAGTCATCTGCCATTCGCTTTCGGTAAGCATATATGCTTTTTAGCCAAGTACTTCCTTCTATGTTCATCGTACAATTTAGTTTAATGGTATGAAATAAATTTTTATAGCATTCAGAAAGCCATATCTTTTCATCATACATTTCTCATCCGTGGAAATAGTCAAACTGACTCAAGATTCGTACACCTCACATTCACAGAGTCCTGAGCGTACTCTTATTGAATTGAATAGTCCACGTTATCTAGGATTAGCTGGATCGAGTAGCATTTATGTGTCTACAGTTAATTCGATTTTGGAGATTTTGAAAATCAATGGAGCTTCGATCATGGAGACGATAAGCGACAGTCTACCGAGCTTGGATACTATGTGAGTTTCCTGTTATACATTATTTTCGTTTATTTTCTGTAGATAATTCTTAAAAATTGTATGTTCAGTGTATGCAAAGAATTTTTATCAATTTTTTCCATTCAATTTAAACGGTCATATTGCAGAGGACAAGAAGACGATAGCAGCTCAGAATTTAGTTTCACATCAAGCCTAATGGAGGCTCTTGACGGTCAAGGGAAAAGAGTACATTTTGCTGATATCACTAATGTTTAAGTATTTCCATATTCAATTAGGACACCATTCTGTTGCGATACTTTCCATTAAATGGAAATAGCAACGAAGAAAGAATTTCTTTTAGTTTGCCTATTAACCCATTAGTTATCGAATAAGAATCAAATTTGTAAGTCCAATTTTACTGAATTTCTTGTACGGTAATATATTTTGTATTACATATATGTAATATAAGACACCATGAGCAGATATTTTAATAGTTCTACTTTGTTTTTATATTTTTCATGTAACAAAAGGGCAAACTATGTTTAGATAGTATTTAAATTGACAAATGCCACCATGTTTCGCAAAACTTAATAAATAATTAAGTAATTTATTAACAAACGACGCAATCACATAACGAACAATCGACTTGGTGTCTGAATAGTTTTACTTTCTGTATAATATTTTTCTTAATTTTCTACCTTAGTAACATGTATACCAATGGCAGTACTTGAAGAGTACAAGAAATATTTAAAAGCTATAGAGACATAGTACGTACTTAACTTAAAGATAGTATAGTCACAAGAACAAGGGGACACCTTGTTAAATATTGAATTGATATTAATAGATGATTAACGATAATATCACAATTAAACTATAATAATATATTTTTACATGTCTGTACATCGGCGGAAAATCCTTTTGTAATTTTTCTAATATACGCCATACGTGCACGCACGTGTTCATATAATAAAGAAAGATTTGTATAAGATACAATTAATAGGCACTATTTATTCGCCTACCTAGTATTACGAAATATTACAGGTAGCCAGAGCTAAAAAGCGTAAATGATAATCAGTTTAAGTTATAAAACGAAATAAACATTAGAAAATCTGATATTGTTTCAAGAAAAGGCAAATTAGGAGACAATAAACGTTTGCCAATGATGCTATTTATAAGACCGATCAGTTTGACAGAAAGGTTTATAACTTGCTATATTAATTTATGCTTAGCTATGTAGAGTAATGCGACATCCGGCAACCCTTGACACTGGTTGCTTGTCACATTTACGCATATTCATCAGAAAGGTGCAAGCATTTTATTGTTAATGAATCCCAGTCTCATCATGAAAGAATACGATATTTTATAGTTACACTTGATTTTATAGCATTTTGGTTTTTCTAGATGAATAAAGCATTGTAGATGCATCGTAAGATGCATTGTAGAAACTGAATACGAATGGGACGGCTATGAAAAAACTATGAAATTTCGTAGGAATTTTTTTTCGTAATTAAATAAGAATCATGGTGATTCTGTGTTTCATTTTTTGAATGGGATTTATGTTTGCTGAAAATATTTGATTTAATAATGATATAACTACTTCTTGCTGGAATGAACTTCAGCATGTAATTGTTTGTTCGGACACTCGGTAGAATAACAATGGTCGATGCCATTGACGCAACAAGATTGCAAAAGAGGAAAGCGGTATTATTCAATGAGGAAATTAAAATATTCAAGTGATTACAGAATATCGAAAAATATATGAGCATCGTGTACTATTAGGAAATCAGTTCATTAGGAACTGTGTTTTGATTGAACTGGGATATCCGGAAAAAAAAGATTATAAGTAACCAGTTCAAAAATTTGTCTCCATCCAATAAAATCTAAAATTTTACAAGAATTCACTATGAAAATGCAAATTCTATATAAATAATATTCTCAAAGAATAGTTTCATCCATAAATAGGGTCATTATAAAAATTTTGAGGATATCATTTATATATAATTTACATTTTTATAGAATATTTTTATCAAATTTTAGAACTCATTGGATAGAAAGAGATGTTTGATCTGATTATGTACTATTTTATATAATTTTGTGTAGTTTTATATGATTATACACAATCATTCTTTCCCTGAGTAGCTGAATGAGTAACCGTTAAAACAGAACTATATTCATTCATTGTTTGCTAATCAAACGCACTATCACAAGATAAAGCAAATAAGGCTCTATTTTTCAATGAAAGGTGAAAAGGTTCATTGTAAAATATCATTTGAAGCATACAATTTGGATATTCATTAAAGATCAATTACCAATTATTGATTAAAACTCCAATATGTCTAGTAGTCACTTGAATATCTAACGATTTCATGTATATTTTCAGGGGTAGATAAAGAACGGTGCACCAGAACGTTTTGGCCTCCACTTTGATGATGTATAAACTTCCGTAGAGATTAATAAATCAATCTGAAAATTCAAATCTGTCAGACAGCCCTGCATATTTCATTGAATAGGCCACTATACAGAGGTCAACTTGAAATTCAATTATCATTTAAATCACTTTAGAGGAAATTATTTCTTGAGGGATTGTGCCAACGGTGGGAGAAACCGCTGTTATAAATGCTCGACCGTCGTGGAACCGAAGAACTCTCAATCTTCTTGGTAGCATAATCGTACAACTTCTCCAACGAAGAAGGAAGATCTAGCATTGATTGTGTTACATGTGGTGTGAATAGTGACATAAGTTGTAGTGCTACTCGTTGGGATACGGTCCTATGCGAAAATGAATAACGAGGTCGAAGATCGAGATCAGGTGGGAAACATTCAAAGAACTGTTGAAGTCGACCCTGGTGAAGAGGCGGTAATATCTGGGATAGCTGGCAGGTACCCGGACTCGGACAACGTGAAATATCTCCAGGAGAACCTATTCAACAAAGTAGATCTAGTTACGGACGACGACCGCAGATGGAAATTAGGTAGAAATCTAACATTTCAATTGATTATTAATATCACAATTTTTGAATTAAAGTGATGACATAACTTACCTCTCACAGATCATCCGGAAATTCCTCAGCGTACTGGAAAGATCAACAATGTGGGCAAATTTGATTCCCTATTTTTTGGTGTACATTTCAAGCAAGCTCATACCATGGATCCCATGTGTAGAATGCTATTGGAGCATACCTATGAAGCCGTAATAGATGCTGGAGTGAATCCAAGGCAATTGCGTGGTACCAAAACCGGCGTTTTCATTGGTGCCTGCTTCTCTGAGTCGGAGAAGACCTGGTTCTATGAGAAGCTACAGGTAAAGTCTCAGTCTTGCATTAACGAAGGCCTTCGTGTAATCCGTATTCTACTAATAAATCATTTGTATACAGGTAAATGGATTTGGTATAACTGGGTGCAGTCGTGCTATGCTGGCGAACAGGATATCATACTGGCTAGGTGTTACTGGTCCTAGCTATACAGTAGATTCTGCCTGTAGTTCAAGTCTCTTTGCCATGGAACATGCTTATAGGGCAATGAGAGATGGACGCTGCGATTCTGCCATAGTTGGCGGTGCCAATCTCTGTCTTCATCCTTATGTGTCGCTTCAATTCTCTAGATTAGGTACATAAGATGTGCTGCGCTCAAATAGTGAAGATCGTTTACTGTATATTAATCTAATTCTTATATATTTTAGGAGTCCTCTCGTCTGATGGACGCTGCAAGTCATTTGATGCTGATGCTAATGGTTACACCCGTAGCGAATCCGTGTCCGTGATTTATCTTCAAAAAGCAAAGAATGCTAAAAGAATATACGCCAGACTTATTCACGGAAAGACAAACTGTGATGGTTTCAAGGAACAGGGTATCACGTTTCCATCTAGTGTGATGCAGAGTGTACTTCTTCAAGAGTTTTATGTAGAATGTGGAATACCACCGAGTATAATAGCTTTCGTAGAAGCTCATGGTACAGGAACTAAAGTGGGAGACCCTGAAGAAGTTAATGCTCTGGAAAAGGTTTTCTGCCCAGGTAGAACCTCTCCATTGAGGATTGGATCTATTAAATCAAATCTTGGACATGCTGAACCTGCTAGTGGTCTATGCTCTATTGCCAAGGTACACCGAAGTTCTACTTTAATATATCACATGAAGCCTTGATGTAAAAAATATCTGTGAATGAGTCATGGATCTGCAATATATCAATTATTCTAGGTAATCATAGCAATGGAGTCTGGTTATCTGCCACCTAATCTTCATTACAAACGACCTCGTGAAGGGGTCAAAGCACTGGAGGATGGTAGAATCAAGGTCATCTCCGATGTTACACCCTGGGAAGGCGGTTACGTGGGTGTCAATTCATTTGGTTTTGGGGGTGCCAATGCTCACATTCTATTAAAATCAAATCCTAAAGAAAAAATCAATGGCTCAGCTCCTACAGATGATTTACCTAGATTGATCTTTGTCTCAGGACGCACTGAAGAAGCAGTAGCCTCTCTGTTGGATGACGTAAGCGCATCAAGATCTTTATACGTTTTATGCAGTACAGACTGTAATTTCAGTATTATCTATAATAGATTGAAAGCCGACCGGTCGATGTTGAACATGCTAGACTATTTCACGATATACACGCAGAAGATATACCTGGACATTTATACAGGGGATACACGATAATGCCACCTAAGGGGATACCAGAGAATCCCACCAGGGAGATACAACATTATCCTGGTGCTAAGAGACCTGTTTGGTTTGTATTCTCTGGAATGGGATCTCAGTGGCCTCGCATGGGTACGTACCAATCCTAATTAAAACAATTGTATTAATATATATTTAAAGAATACGAGTCAATAACTTTATTATTTTACAGGCGAGGCTCTGCTGAGACTCCCTGTATTTGCTGCAGCCATTAAAAAGTGCGATGTTGTCTTAAAACCCCGTGGAGTTGATATCTATGATATTTTGACTAACAAAGACAAGAAGACATTTGACAACATTTTGAATTCTTTTGTTGGAATTGCAGCAATTCAAGTAAGTTTTTAATTGATTTAATAGTTCACTTTCTTTCATATTCTTATGAATCTTTTCCTACAGATCGGATTGGTAGACGTGTTAACTTCACTGGGTATTGTACCTGACCGCATAATCGGCCACTCTGTTGGTGAACTTGGTTGTGCCTATGCTGATGGTTGTTTCACAGCCGAGCAAATGATTCTCTCAGCATATTCTCGCGGTTTAGCATCCATAGAAACAAAAGTAATATTCGGTTCAATGGCGGCTGTTGGATTAGGATATTCCGACCTTAAAGATATGTGCCCACCAGATATTGTGATAGCTTGTCATAACGGGCCAGAAAGCTCCACCATAAGTGGACCTGCAGAAGCCATGAAAGCATTTGTAGCTAAATTGCAGGTAATAAAAAATACGCACTTGCAAGTTCTTCTATTAATTGAAAAAATGATTAATTATTTATGTTTCTTATATTGTTACAGGCAAATAAAATATTTGCCAAAGAAGTACCGTGCAGCAATATTCCATATCACAGTCGCTACATAGCACCAATGGGACCTAAACTCCTGGCATACTTGCAAATGGTCATTCCTGAGCCAAAACCACGTAGTTCCAAGTGGTTGAGTTCGTCAGTGCCCTACAGCGAGTGGTCCACAGCCATGGCAAGATTATCATCTGCAGAATATCATACCAATAATCTATTGAGTCCCGTTCTATTTGAAGAAACATCAAGCCTCATACCTAAGGATGCTATCACTGTCGAAATAGCTCCTCATGGGCTTCTGCAAGCTATCTTAAGAAGATCCTTGCACGAAGGAGTGACTAACATAGCCCTAACTAAACGAGAACATCCAGATAATGTTGAGGTCCTTCTACAAGGTCTAGGAAAACTATATGACGTGGGTTTGCACCCACAAATATCTAAATTCTATCCGGATATTGAATTCCCGGTCAGCCGTGGTACCCCAATGATCGCACCAATGATCAAGTGGGAACACTCGGAAGACTGGTACGTCACATCTTATAGAATGCAAGAGAAGATTGTTTCCGGCGAGAGGTTGGCTGAGGTCACGTTGAGTGATGAGGATTACGAATATATGGCAGGACATGTTATCGATGGTAGGAACTTATTTCCTGCTACTGGTTACTTAGCACTCATATGGGAAACTGTGGGGATGATGAGGGGTGAACTATACACTGAAGTCTCGATTATATTCGAGGATGTGAAGTTTCTGCGAGCAACCACAATTCCTAAGGAAGGAATAGTGGAATTAACTTTAATGGTTCAAAAAGGTAGATTACTGATCTATATAAAGTCATACTATTCATGGTTATACATATAAAACGATTTATCATGAATTCATATTCATATTTTTTCTCATAGGTACCGGAAGATTTGAAGTAGTCGAAGGTGGCGCTGCTGTTGTAACAGGTTTCGTAAGGGCCACATCAAATCCTTCCCAGGATCAGATAAGCAAGTCTTTTATTGACGATAACAATGACGAAGAAGAAAATATGACATCCAAGGATGTATACAAAGAACTGCGCCTTCGAGGATATCATTACTCAGGGATGTTCCGTAGCATTAAATCAGCCACTATTACTGGTAGCAAAGGTCACATAATTTGGACCAATTGGGTAGCGTTCATGGATAATATGCTTCAGATGAAAATTCTTGGTGAGGACACAAGAGGACTCTTTGTTCCTACAGGAATTCAAAAACTAGTCGTAGATACAAAGACTCACCTGAACATGATCCGCGCAATATCCGAGGAAGAAAAACGTAAGTCAAATCATTAATCATTTTACGTCCTATCAATTTAATCATTCTCATTATTCATCTTACAGTCTTCCCCGTACGCGTCTGCAAGAGACTAGACGTCATAACATCCGGTGGTATAGAAATTCGTGGACTAAAAGCCAGTGCCATAGCTCGTAGAAAACCTACAGGAGAACCTGTTCTAGAACAGTATAAATTTGTTGCTCATCGTGACCTGGAGAAACTCTCCCTATCACAATGTATTCATCTTGCCACTAATTTGGCTTTGGAAAATAATTTTGGCATCAAGATCAAGACCATTGAGGTGGTGAACGATAATGATAACATTACTGTAGAGAACCTTGTCTCACCATTCATTTTGGAAACATTAGGCAACATTCCTCTGATTCAAGCTGATGTTAACATCATAGCATCTGCTGAAAAATTCGAGGAAGGTACTATACCACAAACAATAGTGATAAATGACCCTAAGAAACTTGTTGGGGAGATGAACGCTTTGTTGGCTGTGGGTCAAGGACTTCTCACTGAGAATAATGAAACTCTCAAGCAAATTTTATTTGCTCTAAAAGATGGTGGCTTTGTTATAAGCCGAGAATCAATCGGAATACAGGAATCCTTGGCGAAAAGTGAGATTGCCGGATTTGATATTGTTCTAGAGAAACAAACCGATAAAGAACTCATAGTTCTTTTACACAAAAAGGACAAGATGCCACGGAAGAATATTGTCATATCAGTATCCAATGACAAATTCTCATGGATTCCTGACGTGCAAAATACATTGAAAGATGACTATGAAAGAGATGTTTCTAGTACCACAAGGGTTATCCTAGTTGGTGAAGGTGACTTTGAAAACGGTCTTCTTGGTTTAGTAAACTGTCTCAGAAAGGAGCCAGGTGGTGAAGCAATACGTGGTGTACTAATCCAGGACAAAAGTGCTCCTAAATTCTCTCTAAATGACCCTCTGTACTTTAATCAGTTAAAATTAAATCTAGCTTTAAACGTTCTTCGTCCAGGAAGGATCTGGGGATCGTATAGACATATCCCTCTACCACCTGCTCAATTAATTCCAGTCCATCACGCTTTTGCTAATCAACTGGTACGAAGTGATCTGTCATCACTACAATGGCAAGAAGGTCATATCGAAAAAGGATTCAAACATAAAGACCTAGTCCACGTGATATATGCGCCTCTAAACTTCCGTGATATCATGAATGCTACTGGAAAACTTGCTACGGAGGTAATTGCTCATAGTAGACAGGAGCAAGAATGCGTGATAGGACTTGAATATTGTGGAGTAGATGTTAATGGCAAACGAGTTATGGGTATGCTGAATAGCAAATGCATAACCAATCTTGTTATAGCAGATAGAAATCTCTCCTGGTACATACCAGATCATTGGAGTCTGGAAGAAGCTGCAACAATTCCATGCGTATATTCAACGTCCTATTATGCTCTCTACATAAGTGGAAAAATGAAGAAGGGTGACAAGGTCTTGATCCATGCAGGGAGCGGAGGTGTAGGACAGGCTGCCATAAACTTGGCATTGTATGAAGGATGTGAAGTATTCACTACAGTAGGAACACCAGAGAAAAGAAGATTTATTAAGGAGAGATTCCCTGAAATCAAAGATGATCATATTGGCAATTCTCGAGATACTAGTTTCGAGCAAATGATTCTACAACAGACCAATGGTCGTGGGGTTGATATAGTTCTGAACTCCTTAGCTGAAGAGAAGCTACAAGCATCTGTGCGATGCTTGGCACATGGTGGACGATTCCTTGAAATAGGAAAATTCGATTTGGCTGCTAACAATCCTCTTGGTATGCTCGCTTTCCTAAAGGAGATTAGTTTCCACGGTGTCATGCTGGACCATGTATTTTCTGCATCGACTGAAACTAAGGCACGGCTTAATAGTATAGTGCAGACAGGATTAAACAATGGTGCGATTAGACCTTTGACCAGCCGTGCATTCCCTAGGGAACAACTAGAAGCCGCTTTTAGATACATGGCAGCTGGTAAACATATTGGCAAGGTATGATTTTATGAGTATCATATATTCGTGTCCTTTAAATAGTGTGATTACAATAGTCTTCATTTTCATTAGGTTCTAATGAAGATTAGAAAAGATAAAGAACCTCTAGACTCTCCCATTCTGGCACTCCCACGCTATCACTGCTTAGAAAATAGCAGTTACATAATTCTTGGAGGATTAGGAGGTTTTGGATTAGAACTAGCTGATTGGCTGGTGCTTCGTGGAGCAAAAAAACTCTTTCTAACATCTCGCAGGGGTATTACAACTGGCTACCAAAGGATGCGCATACGATTGTGGGAAAGTTATGGAGTGAAAGTCACAGTAATAGTTGAAAAAAATGCAGCCGATCGAAAGGACTGTGAATACATTCTCAAAGTTGCCGCCAATGATGCGCCAGTAGACGCAATATTTAATTTAGCTGTAATTCTGAAGGACAGCCTTTTCGAAAATCAAAATGAGGAGTCCTTTATGGAATTGATAAAAACCAAAGCACAGAGTACAAAACACCTCGATGAACTCTCCAGAGTAATCTGTCCAACGCTACGACACTTTGTCGTATTCTCATCAGTTTCCTGCGGTCGTGGTAACGCTGGCCAGACAAATTACGGTATGGCTAATTCCATCATGGAAAGGATCTGCGAAAAACGTTCTGCAGAAGGTCTGCCAGGTTTGGCGATACAGTGGGGAGCCGTTGGAGATGTCGGATTGGTCGCTGAAATGCAAGAGAATCACATTGAAATGGTGATCGGTGGAACGCTTCAGCAGAGAATATCATCGTGTCTTCAAGAACTTGATGGATTCTTGCAACAAAAAGAACCTATTGTCTGCAGCATGGTGGTGGCTGAGAAACGAGCAGGTGGTGCTGGATCAACTGACATTGTTGGCACAGTTCTGAATATTATGGGTAAGTCAAATGGTAGTTAGATTAATAGAATTAAATTTACATGAAATCTTTGTGTGACTAGGACTCAAGGATTTGAAATCTGTAAGCCATCATACACCACTCTCTGAATTGGGAATGGATTCAATGATGGCTGTAGAAATAAAACAAACTCTGGAACGGGAATTTGAAATCTTCATGACCGCTCAGGACATCCGGGGCCTAAACTTCGCAAAGCTCTCTGAAATGGCTGCTAAGGAAGCTAAAAAAAAAGCAAAAGTTGTTTCGGCAAACGGTACAGATATCATTTCTGGGTTGAAATTACTTATGACTACAGTGGGGAATTCTGACTCAAACCCAGAAATTTGTTTCAAACTGGAAAGTAAGGAAGAAGATGGCCGGGGTGAAGTTTTCCTTATTCCAGGAATTGAAGGATTCGGTTCTATCTTTATAGAATTAGCAAAAAAACTGAAATCACCAGCAACTTGCTTGCAATTAGGACACTGCAAAGCACACAATAGCATCTCAGAAATGGCTGATGAACTACTACCGGTAACCAAATATTCTTACCACTATCACTAAAGTTACAGCAAAGACATTTTTGTTTTATTTTTCAGTATATCCTAAATAAAATTAAGAATCGCAGAGATTTCGTAATAGTGGGATACTCCTTTGGAAGTCTCGTTGCAATTGAACTTGCTAGAAGATTAGAAGGAGAAGGTCTCAGTGGTCGTTTGGTGTTAATCGATGGTGCACCAAAATTAATGAAAGCGATAAAAGATCAGCATTTAGGGGCAGATAACGACGACAACCAGTTACAAAGCAATGTCCTACTTGGAATAATGGATTTAGTAGCACCAGCAGTCAGTACCGAGGTAAATAAAAGTCTCAGATTTATAAAAAAGTAAATGTTCATTACTATATCTCAGAAAAATTACAGCTTGTTGTGACTTTGGAAAAATATAATACATGGGATGAGAAATTAGAGGAATTCGTTAAGCGCATGCCAACAGAAGTGAACATAAAACAAGATAATCAAAGGGCAATTTGCACTGCAGTTTACAAACGATTGTTGGCCGTTGATAATTACATTACACTTACATTACCGCCCATCAGATCACCAATAATACTTTTGAAACCTACTACTCAGTCGGCACGCATAGACAATGAAGACTATGGGCTCCGAACAGTAAGTCTGGTTAATGAAACCTGCACTCAAGGGTTTAGTTAATTAATGCGATTTTCTTGTTTTAGGTAACAAGGGATAAGGTAGAGATACACAATATAAATGGTAATCATATTACTATACTGGATGATTTCAAAGTAGCAGCCGCAGTAAATGGTGATCCGCTTGATGATGCTGTCTCTTTCAAAGCAAGTATAATGGAAGATGGAAAGATCTTAGCACCAATTACCATGGGAGAGAATGAAAGATCTTAGACATAAGCTTTCACGGACTGGACGTAGAAGAATTTTATTACCGTTGCACATTTTATGTTGTCTTTAAAAGCTGTAATAATTATTTGTAACGATATCGTGTTCAGTTATATCATTATTCTTTTTACAATCACATTATTTTTCACAACTACATTCACACATACCACACTCATGCGATAACGTATTCCGGATTGCTTTAATTAAATTTAAAGAAGTCTGTGCCTGCTGTTAATTTTATTTCTTGTAAATTGTACAGAAAGGTTCATACACTTTCTTGACATAAAAATCTGTGACCCAGTGACATATTTTTTAAGGAAAAATAAAACAATTGTTATAAGCAATAATCTCTAATATGTTCAAAAAAATAAAATCTTTTACACATATCTTTGAGTAGCAATGATAATTGATTTCAATAAAAGACATTCAACGAATAATATAGGGTGAGAGAAAATGTCAATAATATTACATGGAAAAAAGAAACGAAAATATTTATGACTTTCAATATGAAATAGATTAAATTTCCTTAGATTTCCTTAGAACATTCATTTCATACAGAATGGCTCAATCGTACTTCATTATTAATTAATTCTCTTACAATATATCCACCAGTAGATACTAGTAAAGAGGGCTAACTTTATGGGACTTTATGTCTAACGGTTAATAGGGTAAAGTGTTGATATGATATGATATGCTCAATCTATCATAGAAATTCTACTGGAAGGTTTAAATGTCATACAGTTCGTTTCAGACACAGAATACAAAGGGCTGGTCCTCTTTAATAATATCTTCTCGGTGATATGTCATATATGAATATTTGTTACTCATAATATATTCATTCGCGAATAAGAAAAAAAACATAATTACACCTATGAATGCTAATATTATAAAAGATGTAATTCCAATTAGTTCTACACTTTATATGAGCTAATGAATTTAATATTCTAATGTAAGCTAATGGCTTAATTTCTTAATTATCAACCCCATTATGAATTACTATTTACAATATGCCAAATGTGTACAGAATTACAAATAATAAGAATCAGAAACAAAACCTATCGATAGATAAGACCAAGATTATCGAACTTGTACAGACTAACTTGATATACGGGAATAAATTTCAAGAAAAAACATTAAAATACTTTGTGCCTCTTGCACTTCTGTGTTTTAAGAAACTCTAATATATTAAAATGTGACACGCAGTTGGGATGCAACATTGCAATAGTGATGTTATAGACAGATCTGAAAATTATAAAGAAAAACCCATGTATTCCAATATATTTCTATACAACAAAATTGAGTTGATAAGCAATTGAATGTACAGTTGTATTGTAATGGGCAGCACAATGGACAAATAAATGATAAATAAAAGTCTTTCCCCACTGTAATATTAATTGCAAGAGTATCACATATTGTATCCACACAGAATCTTTCTACATTTTTTTGGACCACTTCACTTATTTGACAAACTTTCAAGAAGCATAAACTCTGAACTTGTAGAGCACATAAAGCGCTTGCTGATTTTAGTCCAGAAATTATTAAGAAAATTTCGTAATCGATGAACACATTATTTGTCCTTCAATGTCATATACACCAACCTTTAAAAAAACGTATAGTAGGTCCCACTTACGGTCTTTATTCATCCATAGGTTCTAGAACTATTGTTGAGGTTTCGGCAAACAATGCTTCATTCAGATCAGAAATACTCTCACTGTTGTTGTTGCTGCTGCTGCTGCTGCCGTTATTATTGCGATTATTGTTGTCGTCAGACACTGTGGGAATGGGTGTTGGTGTGTCGCGGGGTGTTGGTAAGATTCGAAGATGTTTACTTGGTGGTTCCCAAAGTACTAGAGCCATGGAGGGCCTTTCCCTGAAACAGAAAATCTGTCCAGCTATACATTCTCTAAATAACATGGATAATGCATATTTTTGGGACTACAAAAAAAATTATCTTTGCAGCACATATCTCTAGGAAGATAATATATACTTACAATTTTGAAAGAATAGCATTGGGCAAGATAGGTTCATGCCGAAATCTTCTAAGCTCTTCTGAAATGATCAATCTGGGTTCTATACTGTTGGATTGTTCTAGACTTATTGAATTACTGCCATCCATGTCCAAATCGGCGTATGTATCAGATTTGTCTACAGATAACTCAGGCTTAGAACCTGATGATGTTGAAGGCATAGGATTATGATTGCAATCGCTTGTGCTTATGTGGAGTTCACTAAAATGTGCAGCCATCTTTTCTTCTGTAATGAACTGCTTTGTATGTCTTCTGAAAAAGATGGGTATAAAAGAGTTCATAAAACATATTGAATAATAATTATTACTTTGTATCAAAGTAATAAGGCATAACTTACGTATCTGCTACATCCGGTGTATCAAGTTTCCTCTTCTGACGCATGGCTGGACCATAGGTTGACAGTTGCCGTTCTCCAGTAAATCTGACCAGATCAGGTTGTTGTACTGCTGCAACACTCCATGGAATTGACATTGGCATTTGTGGAACCTGCAACCATGGCCCAACCTGCTGTGGTGCATTCTGCTGCCCCATCATATGTTGAAAGATGGATTGTGGTGTATGCAGATGAGCTCCACCCATCGCATTCTGAATGGGAGGATGAATTATTGGATACTGCGCAAACATTACTATCGCACTTATAACTTCCTCAATGTATAAATTTCACAATTATTCCTAAATATTTAGATCATACAATAAAGTTCTTATAGGACAGTTCAAGATGTTTCAGGTGCTTTAGCGTTTTTGATATACCCAGTTTTAAATCACAAGTCGATTACAAATGCACATAAAAAAAATATGAACCCTCAAAGATTATAACCATAGACACGTATTATTAGCTCAAATCCTAATTGATAATATACATAATTTTTCAACAAAGGCAAATTATTTGACACTGACACAACGTCGAGATATATTTATATGCTATACACTCGTAACAAATGGACGATGGTGAAAACTCTCTGGCTTTTGTTAAACCGCCAAAAGTTAATAATAAATAAACGTATCGAGTAAAATCTGTCCCAGATGCAAGAACAGAGTATCCAACTTTCTAAACCATTCTCAAAAATAACGCACACACTATTCTAGAAGTCTTATCACAGCACTATATTGTTGACACAAACAATTGTATCGAATATGTTATCTAATGGCAAATAAGAATTATAGAAACTCCGTACCAAGGAATCCTTGTAATTCTGCGTGTTTCTGCAATAACTATGCATTAATAACAAAGCCAAAACCTCACTTTGCGCTCTTCTAAAAGCGAACTAAAGTCGAACATACACGAATGATGACGATCTAAGACGAACTACAAAGCAACGTATGTGCTGAACAGTCTAGATCTGTGGTCTAGATATTCGTGAATTTTCAAGAAAGACGTAGCACTTTCGAGACACTTACCAGAGATGAGTAGGGGGAGAACTGGTATGAAGTTGGCCGACTAATAATGACTTTTTAAATTATGGTTTCACTGATGTTGGATGATAGTTTTCTTTTATAATATTATAAACAATTTCTCCCGTAAAGTTAGCCGAACAACTATTTGTTATTTATTAACGAATTTCATTCTTCTAGAACCTAATCGATGCGTAATTATTTGTTGGCCACAAACATTCAAACTATCACGATTGTTGGTTCGCGATTTGGCAAAAAAAATCCAAAAAAATTTGGCCTTCCTGTTGGCGGGAAGAACGCAGTTGACGACACGATTAACGGCGTGTGAAGATAGCCACTTACATATTTCTTGACATTGACTAATTACGAGTATGGTTTACGGAGATTCGGCGAATTAGGAACCTAAGAGTCTAGTCGTACGACTGAAGCCCGTCTTTTTCAACGCGGCTCAATGCATAAACTCCGTTTATCTTCAAAGCATGTAGGTCGCATAGACGTCCCGAGTACGTTTTTCTTGAGACCGCATAAAAATGTCGTTTCTACGGCAGAGGGCCTCATCGTCTGGTAGAAGACGTCCAACTAATTTCGTCTGAAAGACGTCTCTTTCACTTTCGCGTTACAATTTTTTTCATTAAAAATGCATTTTGTACATCGTCGCACCAAAGACGTCTGTAAAGCTACAAAATATGTTTGTTTGTATCATCCTATTAATAAACCACACGCTCAGCCGCCATCTTTGCTCCGTTTTATTAAAGGTGCGCGTGATCAGAGAAATTTCTATCTCCCGTGGCGTGGTGTAGGATCATCTATTCTATTACTACGAAAAGCAGTTTTATCAAAATCTATTAGGAACTATACATAGAACTCCTCCAGAACTATTAAAAAGGCCAGAATCATTTTTCAAAAATTGAGGTGCCAACTACACCCCCGCGTAACGCCGCTATTTTTGAAAAATGTTTCATCAATAGGCTTTTTCAATAGTTCTCGAGATGTTCTGTAGTTCCTGATAGGTTTAACAATAGTTCTGCTACGCAAAATCGATAAGAAGCCTCTTATAGATACTGGCGTCATCATACGTTTCAGTGCAGGCAGGCATGAAGTGCTGCCTTCCAGTATTGTTTTCCGTTGATTTTCGAATAGTTCCGGCATAGTTCTCACTAGAACTTACCATTCTGTCTATAGTTCAACTTGGAAATATTTTATAAAGAATGCTGGAAGCTAGCACTGCACCACTGCACTCGTCAGTGCAGGAAGGCATGAGGTTCTCGCTTTTGTCACAGTAAATTTGATTGAGCTTAAACTGTACGCTCGAACTTAAGATTACTATGAAAAAAATATTTAGGCAATATTTGATAAGCAGCTTCGTTCGAAGGATTGCTTTGAGGAACCAGCGGGAAGAGTAGTGGAAAACCTCTGCCCGCCAAGCTTCACGGTCTTTATCACATTCAGCTCGGCTACGGCGGGATAAGCATTATCCACGGAAGCGATGATCACGAAATCCTACTGGCAGAGTCACCGCTACGATTTAGCGCCATGCTTTTGGTATCTCCTACAGAGATGAGTAGGGAGATGTACAACGCTCCGGTTTTAGGCGATACCAAAAGCATGGCGCTAAATCGTAGCGGCGAGTCCGGGAGTAGGATTTCGTGATCATCGCCTCTGTCGATGTTACAGATTTCGCGTAGCCGCGCGGGTCATGATCATCGTTCCAGCCGATATTGCAGTCAGCGAAAATGAATGGATTGCTCGGTGGTGGGGAAAAAATTACCGCCCCTCACAAACCGTTCTTGACAAACAGGCGGAACAGCAAGGTCTTCCGTCCAACCGAACCCTAAACGTTTGTATGGACGTAATGCGCAAACAAATGTGTATATTCAAATAAATTTCAAAGTTATAAAAAATGCATAGAAATATTGGTTTTCACTCTTTATCTCTTATCATGCCGAAAAT